GTTAGGGAGAGTCTGGAAGCAAGGCTCCCAGGTTTGAATTCCAACTCTTTTTGTTTTCTTGGAAAAATGACTGACCTCACTTTCCCTGTCCCTAGGCAATGCCTATTATACCTCCTTCAGAGTTTTTTTTTTTTAAATAAGGTTCAAGCAAATTAATATCTGCAAAGAGAAGAAAAGTGTTTTTGGATAGACACCTTGTTATTTGCTCTTAAATACTAAAAAAAAAAGGTATAACCTGCCCAATGAAGTAATCTGCAATCCTGTTGTGGTCAAATAGATAGCCACGGTCACGGTCACGGTTCTCCTGTTGTTCATTGATTTGCTCGAGCGGGCCCAGCTTGTAAGGTAAACGCCCTACCGATAGCACAGCGGGTATTTGCCTTGCACACAGCCAACATGGTCGACCTGAGTTCGATTCTTCCGCCCCTCTCGTAGAGCCCGGAAAGCTACCGAGAGTATCTCTCCTGCACGGCAAAGCCTGGCAAGCTACCCATGACATATTCGATATGCCAAACACAGTAACAAGTTTCACACTGTTACTGGGCCCGCTCGAGCAAAATCGATGAACAACGGGAGGATAGTGATAGTGATAGTGATTTCCCTAGCCGAAGGCAGCATTAAATGCTCAAGATATTCAACTTGAAAAGTCTTAGGGCCTTAGCTGAAGTCATTCAGAGCATTGCACGGGGACATTCCCAGTGCAACACCTTCTAGAGTACAAAGAGGAAGTGGCAGTTTTTTGAGGGCATAGTTTCTGAAAGAGAATGTTTCCTCTTGGGGGCTTTTTTTCAGTTATACATAAGTCCTCTCACCCAGGGTTCAGACAGGGAACCATTGCATTTTATTCTTGTTTTGTCTCTATTGTAATTGCTATTATTGAGGAAGCCAAGCTCAGGGTCTATGGGATGCTGTGAATTAAACCCAACGCCTTAGACACGTGGGGCATGTGCTCAACTACTTTGGCCACATCCACAACACAATCAGTGCTTTTGATTTATTTTGCAGTGCTGGGATCAAACCCAGGTCTCCCTGGCCCACTCCTCAGTGCCCCTTCACTGGAGTCAGTGGTCCTAACAAGTGGGCCTTGTTGTAGGTAGCCCTTCCAGAAAGTTATGCCTTAACACTAACCAAAAGTTGAGACCCCATTCAAGAGATCTTGCCAGCTAGCCGTTTAGAGGTGGAGCTCAGTCTTGTGATCCATGCTGGGTGCCACAGATTGTCAGTGCTGGCACAGCTGGGGAGGGAATCTGAAGTGAGTTCCACGCAGACCCTGGAAAACCATCAGAACTCTTCGACTGGGAGTGGACGAACCCAGGGAAGTGTTTAGAACCGGCATCATGCAGTGCCAAGGATGGAACAGGGCACTTTCAACATGGACTTGCTTGGCGCTTTCTGTCTCAGGGAGGCCTGTGCCTTAGTGACCTGGTGGAAGAAATGAGTGGGGGAGAGAGAAAGTGCCCAAGGGCTCCAGTCGTCTAGCAAAGGAACGAGAGTCTCTAATCGTTCACACGTGTCCCACTGGCGGGGAAATGGGAACATAGCTGTGGAAGGCTTGAGCAACGTCACGATCATGATCACGACCATCCGATTGCTTCGAGCAGTTCCCAGTAACGTCTCCTTCGTCCTAGCCCTGAGATTTTTAAGAAAGTGCCATATTCAAGGCTCTTTAGGAGACTGAGACCCATCATTGTTACTGGTATTTGGCATATTGGGTACGCCACGGGGAGTTTGCCAGACTCTGCCGTGTGGGCAGGCTACATTCGGTAGCCTGCCAGTTTGTCCAAAGTAGGAATGAGATAATAAAATGTTGCGCGGCTGCGAATGCGCTTCCGGGAGCTGGGTTTTATAGTCTCTGGGTCTTGGCCGTTGATGGGATTACAACATGGCGCCAGGGGGCCAGTTGGTGGGTGTGACCCCCGCCTACTGGAATTTGGAGGATCTGGGTGGAGGATGCTCAGCCCTGATCCGAGTAGGCTTGGAGATCTCAGCCCCAGAACCGGCATGCCTTTGTTCCTTTGCCGGTACCTTCATGTGTGCGAAGAGTGGTCTCAGCATGGTGGTGGCTGGTTCTGGAGGTCTTCGGCTGCCGAAGCCCTGGTCGGGGTGGGGAGGAAAACTCAACCTGCTCCTCTCCAAGGAGCCCTGGTGAGGACAGCCAGGTGCGGGGGCAGGAGACTCTGTTGAGCAACGTCAGAAATTCCTAATGCCTCAGGATGGAGAAAGGGTGGGAAGCACATAGAGGCTTCCTAGGGTGTCAAGAAACCGCGTGATGACTCTCATCACAGACAGCAAGAGGGGCTGTGCAGACGGAGAAAGGCAGCAGAGCGTACTTTGCATGCGGAGCCCTGGGTTTGATCCCAGCATGGCATGGCATCTCCAGCACCACGAGCTGCGGCCCACCCCCCTCCCCTCAAACAAACGAACACTCCCCACTCCCCCCCCCAAACAATGAAAGGTGTTTTATTTAGATTTCACTGGAGAGTAGAAATGGATGGATGGGGCTGGAGCAATGGTACAGTGGGTAGGGTGTTTGCCTTGCACACTGCTGACCCGGGTTTGATTCCCAGCAACCCATATGGTACCCCTGAGCACTGCCAGGAGTAATTCCTGAGTGCATGAGCCAGGAGTGACCCCTGAGAATCGCTGGGTGTCTCAGCCACCACCATGCTGAGACCACTCTCCACACACATGAAGGTACTGGCAGAGGAACAGAGGCATGCGGGTTCCGGGACTGAGATCTCCATGCCTACTCGGATCTGGACTGAGCATCCTCCACCCAGATCCTCCAAATTCCAGTAGGCGGGGGTCACACCCACCAACTGGCCCCCTGGCGCCATGTTGTAATCCCATCAACGGCCAAGTCTCAGAGACTATAAAACCCAGCTCCCGGAAGCACGTGGCCACATTTGCGGCCATGCGACATCTTATTATCTCATTCCTTCCTTGAACAAACTGGCAGACTACCAAATGTAACCTGCCCACACGGCAGAGTCTGGCAAACTCCCCGTGGCATACCCAATATGCCAAATACCAGTAACAATGAAGGGTCTCATTCTCCTAACTCTGAAAGAGCCTTGCATATGGCACTTTTTAAAAAATCTCAGGGCTAGGACGAAGGAGACGTTACTGGGGCCTGCTCGAGGCAATCGACGAATAACAGGATGGGTGTGAACCTAAGAGAAAAAAAAAGAAATGGATGGATAGTGGTATCTTTCAACTTAGAGAGTTCGAGTTTCTATGCATTTGGGGTAAGACGCTTTCGAGATATATTAAGTGACATCCTGCCCTCTATTTCCTTCTTCCCTTGCCATCGTATCTACTTGTCCCCCCCAAAGCATATATTTTGTTCTGTTTAAAAAGAGGGAGACAGGGCCAGAGCGATAGTACAGCAGGTCGGGTTTTTGCTTTGCAAGCAGCTGACCAGGGTTCTATCCTTGGCATCCCATACGGTCCCCCAGCACTGCCAGAAGTAATTCCTGAGTGCAGAGCCAGGAGTAACCCCTGAGCATCACTGGGCATGACCCAAAAAGCCAAAAAGAAAAAAAAAAGAGGGAGGATGTGGTGTTTGGCGTGTGATGTAACGGAAAGACCATACTATTCTCTCTGACTGCTCAGTCTAATATTTGACAAAGTGACGTATTCGATATGCCAAACACAGTAACAACAAGTCTCGTGATGGAGATGTTACTGGGCCCGCTCGAGCAAATCAATGAACTTCAAAGCTACTCCACTGCTCTGAGACCACACCTGGAGAAGGCAGAAGAGAAAGCAGTTGATTGCCTCATGCCTCCTCCCCCATCCTTGGCACCAGGTAAAATCCTCATCTCCTGGCTGCAGGATTGAAGGCCCTGGGATTTGATTCAAGGTAATTTTCTAGGATTAATTTAAGATAATATTCTAAGGCCTGGAGCCACACTACAGCAGGGAGGGCTTGTCTTGCAGGCTTTTGATCCCGGTTGGATCTCGAGCACCTCACCTGGTCCCTTGAGCACCACCAGGAGTAATTCCTGACGGTATTCCTGATGGCAGAGCCAGCATGAGCCCAGAGCAGCATCAGGTGAGGCCTCAAAACAAAACAGAAAGGATAATTTTCTATCCCAGCGGCATGGGGACTTGTTCTAAAGGAGGGTGCTCCCTTTTGAAAAATAAAGACGGGTTCCTTCTGCACCTCTCCACTCGCCCACAGAAATCTCTCAGCAGTTTTGGGGAGGGATGGCCAGGCTCGGAAAACGCTGCAACCCTGACGTTTGCGGTCGTCTGCTGGCCCCGTGTGGTGGTCACTGGAAACGACAGCTCCTCCCGCTTGCAGCCAGGTAGGAGACTGGACCGGGACAACCTGCCTAGCTGCACGGGAGAGGGTGCGGGGACCCAGATGCGGAGGGTCTCCGGAGCAGGGCACCCACCAGGACGCACGCCAGCGGCCCAGAGACAACTCAAGACGCGTTTCCTCTGGTGACCACCTTTATTTCTGCTGGCGACACGGGGTGCGGGCTCAGCCAGGCAGCCCTGGGGTGCGGGCGACCGGCTCCCGGGCCCCGCGCCAGCGCGCAGCCGCCTCCTCGCTGGGTTTGGAGTAACACGTCTGCGGTCCTCCCGCCCGCGCCGCCCGCTGTCTGCCTGGCATCCCCTCCCGCGGTCTCCCTGGCATCTCCCCCGGCTCCTGCAGCCCTGCCTTCCCGCACGGGACTGGCACGGCCTCCTTCCACGGCAACGAGAGGGGAACGGCTGGCACATCCAGGAGGAGGAGGAGGAAGAGGAGGAGGAGGAGGAGGAGGAGGAGGAGGAGGAGGAGGAGGAGGAGGAGGAGGAGGAGGAGGAAGGGATCCCCTAGACAGGATTCCAGGGGGTCAGAACCACAGGGCCAGCGTGCCCAGACCTCTGCCCTGCCTCCATCCCCACCACTCCGGTTAAGTAGGGGTGCCAAGTCTCTCTCTGCCCAGGAGACAAGCCCACCAACTGTCCTGCTCCCTCTGGGTCTCTCCCCATCTGTCTGGGGGGGCCGGGGCCCCTCACACCCAGCCTGACTGCTCTCCTCCCCTCAGGCTTCTAATCCCTGCCGCAGCCTGCGGTCCAGGGCTAGAAGCTGCCTCAGGAAGCCACGGTTGGGGATGATGCCTCGGTGGTCCTTGACCTTCTTGATGGCCTGCACCAGAGTGAACTGGTGGTACAGCATGAGGTAGGCCAGCACCAGGGTGGCGGAGCGGCTCACGCCCACAGCACAGTGCACCAGGATCTTCCCTGTGATGACAGATAGAGAGACAGCGGTAGGGCTTTGGCGGGCTGGGGGAGAGAGAGAGAGCTACAGGGTCAGGTGAGGGGACGGGGATCAGGTGGCGGGCTATGGGGAGGGCTGGGGCATACATGGGGACAGGAGAAGAATAGGCGCTTCTCTGGGGAGTGTCTAGGTGCTGGCCAGGACATGGAGAACATGCAGCAGCCACCAACCCCCAGAGCCCATCCCCAAGGGAAGACCTGGCTTTGCCCAGAGCAGTGACTCTGCCCTAGCGGCTATGTACATCCAAGGAGACCCCTGGGTCTAACCGAGCCTCCTAGCTCGCTGCTGGGATCAGCTACTTGCACTTGGCTCACCCGGGTTCGATTCCCAGCATCCCATATGGTCCCCCAAGCACTGCCAGGTGTAATTCCTGAGTGCAGAGCCAGGAGTAACCCCTTTGCAACATCAGGTGTGACCCCAGAAGGAAAAAAAAAACAAAACAAAAAAACCCAAAACCAAAACTTCATAAACATTCCATCTCTGAGTGCCTCTTCGGGTCACTGGCATAGGACACCCCAGGACAAAAGTGATGAGCAGGTGACAAGGTACGGAAAGAAGCCAAACCCTCCCTTTACCCTGCAAGTGACCGTAATCAAAATCTGGGGTGTTTTTCTCCTCTTTTTCTTTTGCATTGCCTTGGCACATGCTGGAGAGAAGGCTCTTCTGACCTGACTCAGGTAGGTCCTACTACACTCTTTGTCGCTCCTTGCTCCTGCCTGGGGGCTGTCCCTCAGCTCTGTTGAGTCCAGGCTCCTCCCGCCTGGCCTGGCTCCTTTCCCCACGTACCTCCCGGCTGGCCCAGTGCCCTGTGGATGAAGTCGGCTGCTGTCTGGAAGTGGATGCTCATGTCGAAGGCTGGTGAGTCGTGGGCCTCAACGCCCAGGTAGCGGATGCCCAGGGCCTCGTAGGCCTCAGGTGTGCCTCGCCACCGGCTGTGTGATGCATTAAGGACGTGAGTGATGCCCAGGCGCCGGAGCTCCCGCCGGTTGTTCGCTATGTCCCTGCAGAGAACGGAGGTTAAAGGGAGGGTGGGGAGCCCCTTAGAAGCCTGAACTGTCCCCTGACCTCTCTCCAGTCACTGGTTTCACTTGCTATTTTACTTCCTGATGACCCAGGAAGGACTTTGATCTGGAGGACAGTGACCTAGAGTCCTTCCCTTGAGTTTGGCTTGTGAGGATGGAGAAAGGGTGGTGGTGGTAGTGAGCGGGGGGGGGGATAATCGCCATTATAGGAGCTTGCAGGGCAGGGCGGTAGTACAGAGAATAAGAGGCACTTGTACGCTTGGCACACCCCAGTTTGATCTGGGCACCACATATGGTCCCCTGAATACAAGCAGGAGTGACCCCTGAGCACAGAGCCTGGAGTAAACCCTGAGCACAGATGTGTGTGGTCGAAATCCCCCCTCCTCAATCTTCAATGAAGGCTCAGGGCAATAAGACTGGGGGCCTGCCTCTTGGGTAGGAATAATGAGGTCTGTGCAAAGTTAGTGGGAACTCACTGAGGAATGACCAGAGCACCAGGGAGGAGTAACCGTCTTGCCACTGAGCTGGTCAGACCGAGAGAGGACGTCGGCATGAGCACAGTGGGACATGGACATCTGGTGGGCTGCGACACCTGCCTACAATGCCATACCCTGTTCAACCTTGAGACTCTGATTCAGATTGCTCACTCCCACCGTGTCTCCTAGAGGTCCTTTGGACAGCCAGAATCTTGTAAGGGTTTGCGAGTCATCCTTGTTTACCTCCATAGGCCATCTCCCTGTCAGACATCCAGGGACCCTGCCCTCGGCCAACACTGTCCAGGGCCAACTCCTCAATACGGAGCTCCACAGTGAACTTGCACCTTTCCACTTTGCTAGGTAGGACCTGGATGACCTTGGATCAGTTACAGCTTCTTGACGCTTCCTCTTTCCTCCCCAGAGAGCTGGGGCTGGTGGTCCCTACATCCCAAGGCTCTTGGGAAGATCGAGGAGTAAATGCACAGCAAGTGCTCCCTGTGGGCTGTCCGGGCCAGGAGAGGGACGGGGTTGCCCTCCTGAGGTCTGTCTGGCAGACTCTCTGACTGGGTTGGTCTCCCAGCTGCGTCCCTACCATGTCTGCCCCACTGGAAGCCTTTTCCAGCATCAGAGCATCATAGAGGGAAGGTCACAGAAGTCCTCTAGCTGTCTGATGCGTAACAGTGGCCCCCAGAATGCTTGCTAGATGCATGACAGAGTGATTCATGCTGCCTTCTGCCCAGAGTTGCGTAGCACAATGATGGTACCCAAACCCCCCCTGCTGCGACCCCCCTGTTGTATCCATGCACCCGATCCTCCACCAGGAACCAGTACCACAATTCGGTCCCTCTTTCACTTCTTGTGTGTGTGCGCACGCACACACACACACACACACACACACACACACACCCCTGTTCTGCCCTCCGGTACTTACTGGTCCCCGAGGTAGAGGCCGGGCCAGACCTCATCGGCGTGGTTGCAGGCCGTCTTGCCTGTGTAGAGCAGCCTCTCCAGCTCAAAGACACTGAGGAAGGGGTGCTGCATGGCCGGCAGGTCCTCCAGGGCTCCCCGTGCGCGGGCTGGAGACCGGGAGCCACTCCGGGAGAAGCGGGCCATGAAAGTCATGGAGGCCCAAAGCCAGTTTCCGGGGCACATCTTGCCGGGCGGCAGGTCCCCAGGCAGCAACAGCGTCAGTCTCCAGGGAAACTGGAGGAGGGAACGGAGGCCACCTGAGTCCTGAGAAGAGCTGGCCCCGCTTGGCCGCCCTCTGGCTCAGGCCCTGGGGACAAGTGTCCAGGGAGGGAGGAAACGCTGGCCCTGGGGGCGGGCGGGGGCCCCCTCTTCCTCAGGCTGCAGCGTCTCCTCTGCTCTGCTTCTTTGGCTCTGCCACGCAAGAAGGTGGAGAGTCACATGTCCTTGTTTACGAGGAGAGAGAGCTGCTGCCCAGCGGCTGGTCTGTGTTCCCCTGTCCACCACACACACACGCATGCATGCACACACACACACACACCATACACACACACCATACACACACACCATACACACACACACCATATATACACATGCACACACACACCATACACACACACCATACACACACCATACACACACACACACACACACACACACACACACACACACCCTGCTTCTAGTGGCCACCACTGGAGCTCTTGCTCAGCCTGGATCTGGGCCTTTCGGGCTTGGGAACTCCCAAGGGAGCTGGGGAGGGGTGGAGAGACTCCAGACCCACCCAGAGAGAAGGAGCAGGAAGATAATGGCAGCTGTGTCCTGGCAGATGCCAAGCTGCTCCCCAGGGCCTGGCAGCAGACCAGCTTTAACCCATTCCTGCCCAAGCACGCCAGCTGTGGAGCAGGTGTGCTGGGGCAAGGGACCCGGGAAGATCCAGAACGAGGAAGAGAGTTGAGGCTTGGAGACCTCTTTGCTGAACCCCAGAGCGAACGAGGGCAGGTGCTAACGGCAAGCACCACCATCCTTGGAGCAGAAAGAAATGAGAGAGGGCAGCTCATCCTGAAGGGGAGCTCTCTGAGTCAAAGAGGGCTGGAGTATTGTGTGGAGGTGGGCTGCGCAGAGGGGCAGCAGGCAGGGTCCGCGCTGGGCCCTGTCCCAGGCCAGAATGATTCCATCTGTGCTGCTGAGAGATACTCAGGGGGGCTCAGCAGGGGCCTCCAGGCTGGCTGGCGCTTCTCCTGTGTCCCAGGGTCTTGCCCTGGGACCCTCTCTCTGGCCCCCTCACACACTGCTTGTCGGGAAGACGAGATTGGCCTAAGGACCAGCAGTGGGACTGCCTTCTGCTCTGGGACTTCTCCCCACCGTCCTGCAGAAGCCCAGCGCGTGTGTCCATCCGCCCTGCCCCAGCTGCTGCCCTGGGCCAGGGGAGGCCAGTTTCCCCCAGCAATAGGGAACGGGGTTCTGGACTGTAAAGGGAGCCTAGATCTGGGGGCGTTCAGGCAGGGGTCCCCTCCCAGGGTCGGTCCCTGGCAGCCCAGAAACAGCCTGACACCCTCCAGCGGGTCTGCTCTTCCCAAAAGGGCAGGGTAGCAGGGGCCCTGACACCCCCTCGCCCTCCGCCCCCGCCCCGCAGAAGCCCCCTGCTCCCCCGGGATTACACCCCCTCCTGGACATCCCCTCCCCGCGGCCTCTGCCCTCCCTGCAGCGGGACTCGCTGCTGCGCCCTTTTGTCTCAGGTGACTCCCTCCCAGCCGGAGACCCCCCGCCGCAGGCTCCGCGCCCCCCGCAGCCCCTCACCTCTCCGGTGGGCTCCTCCGGCGGCCGCCGCGGGACTGAGCCCGGCACGGAGCAGCGTCTATTTCAGTCACGCCACCACCTCGGAGCCGAGCCGGCGAGCAGGGTGTGCGGGCGGGGGTGGGCGGTGACACGCGGGGCACAGTGACACGGTGACGGGAGGGGCAGGGGCAGCGCCGCCGCCGCCCACCGCGCGCACGGCCAGCCCAGCCCGGGCCAGGCCGGCTGCCCGGATGGCAGGCGCAGGTGGGCCCGAGGCACGCAGCAGCCGCTGCAGACTCATTAGCTGTGCACACACAGACACACACACACACACACACACGCACACACACACTCACACATGCACACTCACACACACACACACACATGCACACTCACACACTTGCACACACACGCACACGCACACACACACGCCCACGAATGAACGCATGCACTTACTGGCACTCTCTTGCAACATTCCTTAGTTTCAAATACACCCTGTTTATATAACAACCGTAGTAAACCCTGGCACGATTCAGTACTTAGTCCCACCACATGTCTCTGGAGTAGGTTTTGTCAGCATTCCCTGACTTTTAAGGAGACTGAGGCACAGAGAGGTTAATTTGCCCTGGTCACATGCCTGTCACTGAACTGAATTCTCCCTGCTACCAGTCTGGCCTCACGGTTCATGTTTAACAAACTCTCTCTCTCTCTCTCTCTCTCTCTCTCTCTCTCTCTCTCTGTCTCTCTCTCTCTTCCTCTCTCTCCCTCCCTCCCCACAGCCCCCACCCCCACCCCCAGTGGCCGATGCCATGGAGAAGGAACCTTGATTTATCTTTCAGTCCAACTCATCTTGAAAGAACTCCTTGTCCCAGGGACTTTGGGAGGGAATTCCTGTCCCTATCTCTCCCTCTGTTGCCTTTTGGTGATTTGTCTTCTTTTGCTTTTCTACTGCAAGGGCTTGTAAATTCCCAGATTGGGACCTTCCCAGGCAAGGACTGAGCCTTCTACATTATGTGGTGGGGAAAGTGGGGCAGTGTGAGGACCGGAGGGGAGCATCAATAGTAGGAGAGGCTAGTGGGAGCCAGTACAATGGAAACTTCAGAGAGCTCCATCTCCCGGGATGAAGGCAGGGAGCAGCTAAGTGCAGAAGGACCTGACTCAGGCTGAGAAGATGTACCCACTGCAGCTGAAATCACGATGGATGGGATACCCAGCAAGGGCGGTAGACCAGGCTTTGATCTCTGGGTCAAAGAAAATTCTGTCCCAAATTACACAGCCCCCAGGTTCTCTCCAGGTGAGGGGCTGGCGGGGGGTTTGAGGACTGTGCTCAGGGCTCATGCCTGGCTCTGCGCTCAAGGATCACTCAGAAAACCATTTGTGGTACTGGGGACTGAAAAGGGTCTGCAAGGTGGTGACTTATCCCATCATTATTTCTCTAGCCATTCCAGGTGTATTTTGAAGATGAGATTTTATCACAGGTGATCATGAAGGGTAATTTCTTTCCTAGGAGTGATAGTACAGTGGTACGGTGTTTGCCTTGCGCGCAGCTGGCCCGGCCAAGCCGGGTTCGATTCCTCCGCCCCTCTCGGAGAGCCCGGCAAGCTACCGAGAGTATCTCGCCTGCATGGCAAAGCCTGGCAAGCTACCCGTGATGTATTCGATATGCCAAACACAGTAACAACAAGTCTCACGATGGAGACGTTACTGGGCCCGCTCGAGCAAATCGATGAACAACGGGAGGACCGTGACCATGATAAGCAAATTCAGTTCCTTTCTATTTTTTATGTGCCTTCTTTGCAGGGCAGTGAACACATGAAGACATGAAGTGTTCATTACTATAAACACAGAAGTGATGCGGGTCATTAGAAATACTAAGTTGTAGATCTAGAAAAGTGCAGGTAAGAATTGGTGACAAGTCAGATTGTAAGGTAAAGGCCCTCCCGTTGATCGTCGATTTGCTCGAGCGGGCCCAGTAACGTCTCCATTGGAGATTTTGTTGTTACTGTGTCTGGCATATCGAATACTCTCGGTAGCTTGCCAGGCTCTCCGAGAGGGGCGGAGGAATCGAACTCGGGTCGGCCATGTTGGCCGCTTGTAAGGCGAACGCCCTACCCGCTGTGCTATCTGAAAGAACATATACTACCACTCAAGTCATATTGTAAAAGACAATTGCTTTTGGAATTTAGAAGATTTAGAAGATGGTGCTCATATCATTGACTCAGCCTTTATTAACGACTTCAGATTGAGTGCTGCATTATACTTTTCTAGAATGCAGGAAAACATGCCTTTAAGTCGATTATGGATAACATGGGCAAATGTTTATGGGTAACCATAGAAACGGTCATGGATCTACATGGATCTACACAGGACCATTCCCAGGAACCATGCTCCAGTTCGGTCAGCTCTATGCTTTCGTTTATCCTTCTCCTCCTCTTGTTACTTCTTCAATGGCCAAACACTGCACACACTTAATTCAGGGGTTTGAATACTTAGTCATGGCACTTGCATGAGGTTACATGCTTTTGTGCCAGGGGGCACTCCTGGCAGCGCTCAGGATGTGTGTCAGGGCCTGGCAGGGCTTGGGGAGCATATGTGGCAGCAGAGATGGAACCCAGGCTTGCCACGTGCAAGACAAATACCTTAACAGCTATCCTATCTCTCTGGTTCTTGGGGTCACATACTTCAGTCGTGGTGTTCACACATGCCAGCTTGAAGTTCAACGACCTTCATCCATTTTTCTGTGGCCCGAGGGACCCTCAACAGAGCAAGCTGCTGAGAATCAGTGGGTGTGTGCTGCCGGGAATTGAAGTCGAGGCTTCCCTTGGACACAGATTTGCAAGACATGTATTCTACTGTGGAGCCATCCCTTGACCCCTAGGAGGTGACTTTTTAAGTTTTCAAGTGACAACTAACTCAAGATGCAGAAGAGGTATGAAAATGGGAGAAAGAATGAACAAAAAGGAGGCTATGGAGGAGGTAGGACAGGAAAGGGGACAAAAAATGATGTTTTTTTAAAAAATTATCTATCAGGGCTGGAGCGATAGCACAGCGGGTAGGGCATTTGCCTTGTATGCGGCCAACCCAGGTTCGATCCCCAGCATCCCATATGGTCCCCTGAGCACCGCCAGGAGTGATTTCTGAGTGCAGAGTCAGGAGTAACCCCTGTGCATTGCCGGGTGTGACCCAAAAAGCAAAAAGAAAAAAATTATCTATCAATTTCTGGGGTGTTTGTGTCAACTTCCTAAGGTGGGAACTTCTTCTCAGTGGCTGCTTGAGATGTCTCACTCTTGGTTAGGTTGTTCAACTCATTCCAGTAAGTAGCCCAATAAGTTGAAGAACGTAGGTTCACAGTCAGGACTTATGATTCCAAACTATTTCAAGACAAAGCTTCCCCTAGAATCATTTCTCCTATGCAGCTTTCTGGA